GGAATAGTACACTTAAAGGGGAGGCGGACCTCCTGAGGGTGCTGACCGACGCGCAATTGGCAGCGAAAGATTTGACCTCGGCGATCTAGCATGGCTCACTCTTGGCGCGGTTGGCGGGGTACGCCCACCGACTATCTAATCACTCGCCGCAGGTCTATACGTGGCGAGTGATTAGATAGCAGAGAGAGCGTAGTGTTGAAGAGGGCACAGCGATGAGAGTCGCATCAATGCGCAAATCAACGGGCAAGGAAGGGGTCCCATTTCTCGGGTTTCGGGCCGTTTCAAATGGTTTCTTCTTCATCCCTGCTCCACTGACCACCTCTACCCTTATTTCCAATGAGCTAACTTTCTTCGGATATTTTGCCTTTATTTGAGCCAAATACGTGTCATGGGCTTTTTCATCATATCTTAAGTGTTGAAAAACACAATAGTGTGCCCCTCCTCCAAACTGGGAATTTCACCTAGTAGCCAATTCCCAAAACTCACTAAATGTCGTAAACGACCATTATGTTTTGGATGTTGGGATAGGATAGGTTGAATAAGTTTGTATGCCACTGATATTGAACAAGAAAAACCACTGCTTATTGTATTTCCAAAAACACCGACATTTCAAGAAACTGGGCAAACTAGCGGCCAAATGGATTTCGGTGCTGACGACGACATCGCAATATAAGTTGCGAAACATTTGCATGTACAGTGCATGCTAGATAACAGCTTTGGACTTCTTCACTTTCAAGATCGCTATTATCAGCCCTTTGTAGCGTCGCTTTTTGTCACCGAATATACCCTCCCACCAACTGCATCATATTTGTGAAAAACCTCACTGCTGCTGGTTACGCGCTATAAACTTCGTGAAAGTGCTTATGAAGCATTTGATCACATTTGAAGCGACAGCTTAGCAGTGTTTTAACCATTCAATTCTAAGAGGTTTAAAGGCTCACTACTCTTATGGTTAGTCAAGTACAGAGGGTGTGCCACTTATTTGAAAACTCATCTCTGGAATTCGCTAGAAGGGCGTCTAATGCCTTCAAAGAAGGAGGAGCTTACCGATTTTGCGAGGGCACCCGACATTGCGGTTAGTGGGAGTTGATGATTGGCTGCGGTGACGCATTTGCGGCCATTTTGGACCACTGGGACTATTTCAGCTCGGTCTCAGAACAGTCGGTGTGGTGCTGCAGTTTCTTTTACAGACGAACGCACTTTTCTCCCGCGAAGAAGGCGATTCTCGAATGATCTTCCATTATCTTCCAATTTACTTTTTAGGAGCATACTTCGATCGACGTATTGGCAGGTTCAGGCAACTCGTCCAACACGCGTCTTCCTCCATTGCTAAGTGGCAGAGGGAGTCCCTGTCTAAGTCCCTGTTCGACGTTTTTTTTACTTTTTTTCATTATTGGTCAACTTTTCACCTACAACTTCATTATCGGTGGTTTTGCCCGCGAATTCTTTCTTGGATTTTTGCTTTCGTCGTTGCTATCACTTACAATCACTTACTCACCATGTTCTCCACTCACATAGCAAATTTAAGTACGGACGCTCTGAAGACCACCTGCATGAGGAGAGCAAAGCGGAGGCACTTGCTTCCTAGGTGCCATCATCACTTCTTATTGTCATTAATATCTATCACTCCCCCCCCCCCCCCCCCCAGCTGTGTCCCAGCCCCATCCAACATAACACTATTAAGGCAGACGCACTGATGTCAACTTGAACTTCAAAACGAAAATGAAGGCATTTACCCTGTAACACCCCTCATCACTTCCGACAACCAACCAACCATGTTCCCTTTCCTACTTACACGAAGCATATATGGGGACGCTCTAACGACAAAGTGAACGGCAAAAAGAAGGCGGTTGCGCTCGCTTCGTAACACTCCTCAGCTCTTACCAGCCCTTATCACTTTGGAACGCTCACACCACCGTCGCTGTACGCACGCTGATAGTTTCCAGCCAAGCACTTATACGGACACACATGCACGCACAAAGCAACAGACACATTTAGCAGTTTTTATGTGTAGGATCTGCATACAGTCGATATCCGAAAGTTGGGGTGGGTGTGTCACCGGAAGTGACGTGCACTGCGTGGATAAGCTGTTGCCAGCATGCTTTGCTGATAGCCAGCGATGTATGTTGGAAGCAGCTTATCCACATAGTTTCTATCAAGTGCACGTCAATTCCAACTCATCGACATCGAGTATATAGTGGTTTACGCAATAGAACGAAATAGACAAAAGAAACGTACTGCGTCGAACTGATCCTGGCATGATTCTGTAAAGTCGACAATAAACACGACTGACATGCCTGCACCAGAGTAAGGAATATCTGGCAGTTTGACGACCTTAATTAGAGCTCATCTTTACGGATGGCAATATTCCGTGTTCGAATGGCAAGGTCCGGGCTCGGCCTCAGTGAATCATCCCTGTGGATATAAAATGCACGTAAACTGCTTATGCCACCCCCCTGATTTTTCCGTTTTCTGACTTGCTTGGGATGCGATGCAATGCGCGTAAATGGTGGAGCACTTGTAAGTAATTAGTTTGAAACATTAGTCCTCGTGCAATACGGTAGCAGCATGAATAACGCTTTATCAGAGAAAGAGCTCTGTGCTCATTATTGCGATCGCTACTGCTGCTTATAATATGTTTCATGCAGGTCCTGTTGTCCGTCACCAGCTTCGGTGTGTGCCACTGTCAATTCTGTAGTGGAATTTCTTATTATTGAGGAAGGATTACGAGGAAACTCATTTTCCAATCGCTGGCTGGAGTACCCATGGGCTACTGACCGACCTGTCGATGGCCAATTTTTCGGAACTGGCTCAAAATCTCAATTTTTTCTAAAACTTCTACTTCAAGGAATATCTAATGCTCTGATCACGAATATGACATTTATTTTCCAGACGGTTCCAATTTACGCCACTTCGGCACCATTTGGCGCCCTTCTGGCGTTTCAACTTTTTTCCGCCATATCTCAAGCTACATAAAACTCTGAGCTTAATAATTATTGGTGGCTCTGGATAAATGAATATGATATCTAATTCTTGCGCTAGTGCTATTTTGAGGAAATTATTAAGCTCCAACTAATATGCAAAAATTTTGTCATCTTGGGGGATTGATCCTTGGACAATTTCCTCGCTATTTTTGGCCTTCTCGGCCATTCAGTGATAAATGGACATTGTTCTGTAAAGTCCATCAAGATTTCCTATTAAAATGCCAAATAACCGATCCTTAGAATAAGCGCGGCTCGCTCTACAAACGACTTCCACTTGTTAGGTTCTGAAAAGGACCATCCTTGAAACCTCGATGCCTCCATTTCTTTCTTATCTGTTTGATATCATTGGGCAACAGTGAAGAACCCTTATGACATGATCGAAGTAGCGAAGCTTGAAGTTCCATCACACTATAACAAACTGCTTACCATAGTGGTGTCCATGATATGGTAACGCATATCATGACACATCTGGTAGCCGAAGCGGTCTACATTCAAATCATTGAACTTCAGGTGAACACTTCCTTTGTACTAAATCATACAGCTAGCCCAACTATGCCCAACTTGAACTAATACAGAGTAAATCCTACCATAAGTTGTCATAGTGGCTCGTTTCCAACTTGTGAAGTGTGGGCATCAAATGAGAGAGAGTTATATCCTGTAAATTGAAGCCCGAACCACCCAACAACCTCGTGTCGTTTCAGTGAAAAGTTAGGTTACTTTCACACTCTTACTTTCTCATTTTTACTTTTTTTCATATTCGGATGGATGATCCCCTATCGATTGGCATTTGAGGGACGGTAGGTCTTGCTCCTCCAACGAAATGCAGTGTTGGCCTAGAATTCCAACCGTGTTGGCGCGAAAAACTAGTCCAGCGTTCTTCTCCATGTAGGTGTAGCGGCGAGAAAATTATGGCAATTTCTAACCCTCTAGCTCTGGAATTTGCTCACCCATTCAATGGTTCCCCTTCCCTGCGGAAGTCCTAGGTGCTACTGGAGTAAGCTACCTAGGTGCCATGATAAAGATCACTGGAACCAAGCCAAGGGGGTAACGGAAGTAAATTACGTACTCTGGAGTGGTTCCCCCTTGAGACTTGGTTCCCAAATCATCCGCTACTATGGTACTGAAGTTGTCTCTTCGCATCATCCCCATATGGCTCACACACTTCGTCCGAAGCTTCCGTGCTCTCTCGCTCAGAGAACGCAGAGGAATAGAGCGTTCTGCAGACACGTGCAGCAACAAATGTCCTACATTTGAGATAGAATGAATTACTTGCTGCAGTTTCAAATGTCTTGCTTTATGGTGGATTTGTAGAGTGGAAGCGGAACAAACCATACTTTTCCGCTCTTCCATTTCGTTTACAGCAGTTTTTTCTTCGTTAGCTCCATTTGCAAAGATGTACTCCTAATTATCCTTCTTGCCCCCTCTCCTCCCCCAGTAAGTGAGCGCTTTCCAGCGCTCTCACGGGAGAGGGCTTTCAGGTGGACCACGTTTCTCAAAACGGTTTTTTGCATGATATAGAGGGATGTGCATGGAGTACAGAACTGTAGTCCATTTCCGCTAAATGGCCCTCTGAATGCCAAAAAAGGAGTGGGAAAGTGGTCCTTGGTTCGATTCCCCGCGGTGACAAAATTTTTGCATTGTGATTTGACGCACAAAATTGGCACCAAAGACGTCAACACCAGGAATTGATGTCATAATACAATTAGGCTTACAAAAAGCCCTTATTAGTAGGCGTATACCGAAAATGGTGGGAGAAAGTGTCAAAATTGCACTGTCCGACGAAATTATTTTTACTCCTTTATGGGCATTGAGAGGGCCATTCAGCGGAAATGGGCTACAGTTCTGTGCTCTATGCACATCCCTCTATATCATGCAGAAAAACCGTTTTGAGAAAGCGCGGGTCCACCTGAAAGACCTCTCTTGTCAGTGTTGGCAGCCCCTCCAAAAAGCACGCGAAATGCGACTGGGAAAAGAGTGAGAGGTTTCCAAAAACACATTTGAAAGAACGAATGAGAACTACTCGGTGCGCAACTGAAACGCAGAGGATTTTAGCCAGAGCGGCGTGTGCTGCTCCACGCCTATTTGTAATTGAAAAAATGGCAAACTTGAACGAACACACCTCGCTGCTAGTTGTTGGTGAACTGGTACTGCTACTTCTTGATGTCCTGACGGACACTTGCTGAGATTTTATGATCTCTTCCAGTAGTTTCTAGGAAAAAGAAGGTTTTATGCTAGTTATCGATGCTAATGTAACCTCTATCTTTCTATTTTCAAACCGCTAACTTGGTGTGTCGATTTGTATGTATGTGTATCGTGTATGCATGTATGTATGTATGCTATACGAAGTAATATTACTACAGTCGAGATCCGTAAGTTGGGGTAGGCGTGTCACCGGAAGTGACGTGGACTTGATAGAAGTTGCGTAGGTAAGTCGCTGCCAGCATGCTTTGCTGATATCTCGCGATATATGTTGGAAGCACCTTATCCACATAGATTCTATCAAGTACACGTCACTTCCGGTGACACGCCTACCCCAACTTACGGATCTCGAGTATATGTATGTGTGTCCGTCCGCAAAATGAAGTGAGTGAGAAGGAAGCTCATGGGATAAACAAACCGCTAACAAATCGGGTAGCTTACAGGATTTGAGATATCAATGTTTTGTAGCAGGATAGTTGATAACACTCTTAGGGCTATATAAACACCTGCTTAGCACACTTCCGTTCATTCCACATGGTGCTGCAGTGGCAGCTGGAGGGCAGTGGAGAGAGGAAGGGAGGATGAGGAAGGGAAGCGAAAAATCTACCGTCATATCATGATTGTGTCCCTTCTACTGTATGAAACACCATTGTGTTGCATACGCGTCACTTCCAGGAGGTGTTGGTGTCACAGGAGGAAGGGACCATAGCGGAGGATAGAAAGCTTGCGCAGGAAAGGAAGGTCCCGGCGGTTGACGGGGGACTAATCTGGTAATGTATAGGCCATGAATTAGGCTGTATCATGAGTAGTGGCAAGAGACATCTGCCCACCCGTTGAATTCTAGCCATCGTAGCAGGGAGACAGAACGTTCACGTATATGACGGCAGCACCGACGTATCTTGTCTAGAGCGGGAATCAACGGGGAGACGAGGATTTCGTTTTCCAGATTTTGAGTTGTTTCCTTTAGCTTTCCCTTCAATGCTGCATCCTGTGTGCTATACCTTTCATTCCCATCGGCCAGCTTTTCATGCCACCTACCTTTTTTATTGAATCAACCAGCCTTGATTTTTAGCTTCTCCTCCTTTCCTAACCTCTATCCACTGTTTTCCGGTCTCTAAGTCATCTCGGAGCCGATTTATGAGCTCTTGTAGAAAACGCTGTCCGCTTCACGACACGCTCCGCCCATTGTGGGCGGGCCTCCGTTCACATCATGTGTGCTGGAAATACCTTAGACATTGCTCCCCTACACTAATTTCTTTTCTGCTCTGTAGGCTTTCTCCTAACCGAGTTATGAATATTTTTCATTGAAGCACCTTTTTTAGAGAACGCCCCGCCCACCGAGGGTGGGTCTCCTCAATTCGATCTGGCTTACCAACCCACACCTATGCCCACTTTTGTCCCGGTCTCGAGGCTGTTTTGTGACTGAATTTGAAATCAACCGATGCACGCCACGCCCACTGTGGGCGGGGCTCCGCTTGGCTGATGTGTGTTTTTTACTTCTAGGGATATGGTATACCCATCCCAAACTTGACCTGGACCCTGTAGGTTGTTGTTCGCTTAATACCGAATTTCGTGACAGACGGACAGACAGACAGACTAGCGCATTATATATAGTAGGGATATGTTCGCGATCAGAGTCAACCCTGCGTTGCGCAGTTCGCAACGGCACGTTGAGAGATCCTCAACGCACGCTGTATGGGCGGAGACGCAGACGGCTCGAGCATGCGAGTGTGAATGTTCGCGCGAGAGAACGTGTCTAATCGGGCGAAACTGCGCAACGCAGGGTTGACTCTGGTCGCGATTGCTTCCTCAAATTGCAGCTGCAGCGTGGTAAGCGTTCCACTTGCACCACTGCGACCCTCTTGCTCGACTCCCAAAGAAGCTCACATACTGGCACTTGACGCGTTCTAATCGCGCCCGTGTTCATGACTGTTAAAGTTATTCTTTGCATTCAATTTATTATTCAAGTAGAATATAACCTAATGACTTACAATCAAATCACCCAGACTGATAATAAGCTTGGAATCTCCGGTGATCTTGTCAATGTTATCTTTGTCGGGATTGTCTCCAATGATGGAATAGACAATCTTTATGCCCAGATTCCGCAGCTGCAATAATGTTATTGGTACAGTGTGGAGACTTTTTCCTCTAAAATAGTGTACTATCTGCTCATGAATAAGGTATGTAGTAGGCTAATCTTGGAAGGATTCGTAGCCAAGTGAGTTTGTGGAAATTTGTTTGAAGCGGAAGCCTTCTTTCATGGAAACTAGTATTGTTAGCGAGCGATCGGGGAAGGGGCAAGAACAGGAGTAAAACTCAATTTTCAAAATCTTACTATTTCTGCAAGACTGATTTCGTCTTCCTTCGGTTTATCCTTAAGACACGTTGAGTTCCCACCATCTGACATTATGAGGATCATCTTATGTTCTCTGGTTTCGCTCTGAAAACAACGTCAATCTCCTTTTAGTTCTGTGAGACAAACCTTTTTTCTGTTGCGGCTGATCTCACCCAGTCTTTCACAGTCTCGCCACATCAGCCACGATAGTACCTCCTTCAAGCGGTGCACGCCCCCCCCCACGAATGTTTTCACTTTGCGTTATTTTCTTCATGGAAAGCCGACACCACGATAAGGCAAGCGACGAAGCTCATGCGAGATATGTTAAGGGCCCCAAGCTAGCAGCTGTAAGACCTAGCAGCATAAATTCACGAGGTAGGGTCGCCCAAGGTTACAAACTTTCTATGATAGGTAAACTATGCCGTTCTTATGTTCGACCTTGGAATCAGTAACCAACCTTGTTAGAGAAATCTACCTAAGATCCCCGTTCAAGGTTCTCATAGTTAGCTTATCGTTTTGCCAAATGTAGTAGCACCTCGAATATAGCTTCCAGTTGCAGAAGTTCTTCATCATGGGGATAGGGGTGGAAACAGATTTTATTACACCTGCTGCTGACATGTCGAAATCACGGCATATCCAAAAATTATCTGAATTCCTTGAAACTCGTCCCTACTTCCTAAAAGAATTTCTCATTTGTTCCCACGCTCCAAAACGCACTTTCATTTCCACCAAACATACCCCTTCTCAAAGATTACAAAACGACCTTCTCATAATTCCTTCATTTTCTGTATGATTCTCCTTCAAAGACTACTCGGTGGCGCCAGCAGTGTGAGCATCATGTTTAGGAACAAGCCGAAGCAATGGCAACACGACCGCTACATCTTTAATGGAGGGTTTGGCGTAGCAACTTCTCCTTACAACTCTGTTCTCCAAAGTCCTTAGAAAATCACAGATAAAGCTGCGATTATTTGCTAGTCACTCACAAAATGAAAAATACTTGGTTATGATTAACGTGCGCCGCGTTGAGGCAACTTTTGAGATCTATGCGTATTTCAGCTTCCTTTTTTAAAAACTCTGGTGACTATTATACAGGGGGGGGGGCAAAAAAAGACATTTTGCCTATGTCGGACTTCGGCTCTTTTTTCTTCGCAGAGATTGCTGTCGTTGACGGGAGTTCCTCAGCAGAGTATTCCCTAAGTGTCCCTCTATAAGTGAACGCAGGCTCTCCTTCACTGCCCTCACCGTCTTCAGAATATGACGTCATCTGTCACCGTCGTCAGGCTCAAGGAGGTCTACCGTAAGAGCTTCAGCCTGAAGCTCTTACGCAATTTCGTGAATCGATTTAATGTTGGATAGTTTTCTAGAGGCATTAGCTACCACTGTGCAAATCCCCTCGAAACTAGCTTTCCAGTAAGGGTCGTTATGGTACACGATCCTTCGAAGACCCCATTGAGCTCGACCAGTGCACCATGTTTCCAGGGCAAATTCTTCTGATGCCGTCCACGTAGGTGGCCACCATAAAGATTTTCTTGTAGAATGGAATGCGCTCTTTAATAATAAGTTGAGACCATTCGGTCTGAATTGAGCAAAATGTTCTTAAATCCATCTGGAAGTGGAGACAAAATGTCTTTTTTTTATTGGCCCCCCCCCCTGTATTATGCTTCAGCCAATGCAGTGCTCGCGAATTTAGCCGATGCAAATGTCAGTTTTCATCTCTAACACGAATGTCTATTGAACACTCACTTCTAGAAGCTTTTTACCCAACTCGAGAGCTTGAGCTGTCCCTTTCTCCTTCAACGGTTCTGTAGGAGCAGTTACTTTACTTCTGGAATATGTGCTCCTTATGCTACCGCTCGTCGAAGACAGCAGTGAATGTATTCGAGAATATTGATTGCATTATTCAATTTGCTGACGCTCATTTGTTATAATAGTCACTGATGAGAAATGCACTCTTAGAAGACATATGAAAAAGATGAAAAGCTAAATATTACCGTATTTCTGGCCCAGAGTGGATTCCATATCAACGAAGGGTTCTTTCGGAATGGCAACTGATCATTACGATTCCGATTCTCGCCTTTGACACATATTCAGAAATGTTCACTACATAGTCAATTACCTGAACTGTGTAATATTAACCGAATAAAATTCAAAACTTTCAATTCATCTTTCTTCTATGTGTAAAGGGGTGGCCGCAAGTCTGTGTGGTCTTTTCACATTTGGAGGAGAGGTGTTTTTTTTGTGGAGAAATCGAATTCAATCCCAGTGCGTTCGCAGTTTGTCAATTTATCAGTAATTAGTACACCTGTGAGGCCACATGCATAGTAAAGTCAATGAGATAACCTTCCTATAACTGTTAGGTTGTCTGTCCATCATGAGGACTCACTTTACATTTATTGCTGTAAAAATTCTTCGAAACATATAAAGGCATGAAATATATTTTGTGAGGTAGCAATAACATTATACTATTATATATGAGAACTATTAGGATGGTAAGAAAGTCCTGAGCCGTTTGACATTTTTTCTTGCTTTACTTTTTTATTCCGCGTACAATGGAATCTACTCAACAATATAATCACCATTGTTACTCACTACAGAGTCCCACCTTGATGGGCAGGTCGGCGACCCCCTCGTCCCATAATTGAGCAGATTGAGAGTCAAAGAAATCGCTGACTGCTCCTTCAACGTCCTTCAACTTTGGTGAATTTTTTCTTTGCTAGAAATGCCATGAGGGGATGAGAAAAGTGATAATCAGAGAGGGCAATGTCAGGGGTATAGAGCGACCAAAACCAGCTCTCCAATTTTGCACGGGTCTCTTTAGCTATGTGGGGCCTGGCGTCATCGTGGAGTAGGTGGACAGAAGTTCGTCTCGGTCGTTTTTCTCGAACAGCGTCCGCTAGTTTCTGGAGCTGACTGGCGTAAATGCTGCCGGTAGCGGTATGTCCTTGCGGGAGCAGCTCATAATACAACATTCCTCACGAATCCCAGAGGCAGCAAAGAAGACAGCTTTTGGGGTGAAGGTCCGATTTTGCTTGTGGGTCTTCTCCTCGAGGGAGCCACACGGCACTGTGCTTGTTAGAATCGTAGAGGACCCAACTCTCATCTCTCGTAATCATGCCTTCCAAAAACTCCTTTCGGTGCGGACAAAGAAGGAGAAACTGACAAATGGGTACCCGCCTGAACCGCGTGCTATCGGTCAAGACATGAGGGATCCATCGAGTCGGCACTTTCCTGTGGCGAGGGCGTGGAGGGGACCGAGGACTGTGGGATGGGTGCACCCGAGTCTTATCACAAGGCTGCGGGTGCTAACCTCCGGATCCTCTTCGACAGCGCCGAGAACGGTGGAGTCTTCCACTGTTTGGGGGCTTCCCAACCTTGACTTGTTTTCGGAAGCCGTGTCTCCTCCTTCGAAGCCTGCGAACCAGAGCTTGGCACTGATGATGGAAGTGGTGTCCCTTCCCAATGCGATGCTGATAATGTTGACGGTTTCCACTGCTCCTGTGCCGCAGCGCCATTCATTGAAGATGATCGCTCGAAAGTGCTCTTGTGGAATCGACATCATGATTAAAGTTAAAGAAGGCAACCCGGCAATATATACCTACTGCGGAGAAGTATGATCGACAGCGATAATCTATCACGTAGCAGATTCTAGGTATCGATCAATAAGCGAAAGTTCTGGAGCTTTCAAAAAATCGGCTCAGGACTTTCTTACCATCCCAAGTATCATAGTAAGCCCATTTACAAGCTGGCTTTCGTGGTATTACTCCATTTTGTAGAACCTATTTTTGAGCTCCCTCCTTCATCAGTACCCGTTCAAAAACCGAACAACATAATAAGAAACCAGTTAGCAGATAGGGTGGGGCGCGCTCTCTCAATTCACGATGCACCTGTGATTCACTCTAATCCAAGGTTAGGCTTTTTTTGAAGATGACCCACACTCCAACTACCCCTCAAGTGGCAATCTCACTGCTCTACCCAGCGCCACTGAGATTGGATCTGGACAAACTAGTCGCTTTTTCTGAGCATGTCCGACTTGTTAAGATGATGGAATGTAGACATCTACGTAGAGTCGTAAAGATTTTAAAATATGGAATTTGTATCTCACATGCTCTGTGCCCGAATCAGCTTT